CAACCCACGCGAGGATATAACCAAGGCCTTACAACAAGCTGGTGTGGTGTTCCCACCCTCAGCCACGACGCAACAGCTACGTAAACTTCTGCTAAACGTGGTGGGTGATAATAGGAACACCACTACCTTTGCCGATACCGCTGATGCCGCATTTACTGCCTCAACCAACACTGCCGGCACCATTGCCGACATTGCCGTCACCGCTGCCACCGCCGCTTATACCGCCGCCACCACCGTTCATACCGCCGCCACCACCGCTTATACCGCCGCCACCACCGTTCATACCGCCGCCACCACCGTTCATACCGCCGCCACCACCGCTTATACCGCCGCCACCACCGCTTATACCGCCGCCACCAACGCTGCCGTCACTACCGCTGTCAATACCGCTTCCATCACTACCGCCGCCGCCGACACCGCTGCCATCACTACCGCCGCCGCCGCCTCCGCTGATTCTGCCGCCACCACCACCGCTGATACTGCCTATTCCTCTGCCGATACCGCCGTCTCTATCGCCAATAACACTGCCGCTCTGGTATCTGAGAATGCCACTGAAATAGCCAGGTCAGTACTCACTGAACTAGACGCCGAAGTGACGGCCCTTAAAAAGCGCTTGGAAATACTTACGCTACGCAGACAGATAGAAGAACTGGAGCGCCCTCCCAATAGTAGACGACAAGGTCGCCTGGAATTCGGCGATATTGAGCACGCTCTGCCTAAATTTAATGGCGACGACGTAGCTTATCACGTTCGCCATTTTCTGCGAGATTTTGAGGAAATAATGGAGTCCTCAGGGGCTGACGACAATTTTCGCTTGCTTGCCCTGCGCCGGTCCCTAACAAGCACAGCGAAGGTATTTTTATCGACCACGGCCGCCCTAAATTACCAGGCGCTAAAAGCAGCGCTATCAAGCGAATTCGACGTGGGAATCACAAGGCAAGAAGTGTACAAAATGCTGTCGCAGCGACGCTGGAAGAGGAAAGAGGAGACGCTCCACTGCTACACGCTAACCATGCAGGCCATTGCGAAGCGCGCCAATATCGCCGATACGGAGCTGATAGACTTCATAATAGACGGCATCGGGAACACTACCCCGCATGCCCACATCCTGATGACGGCACGAAGCGTAGAGGAATTAAAAACCCTTATAAACCGGTACCAACACAAATATTTCGTGACCGGGGCGGTGCAGCCATCTAACCAGCGGCAGACAACGGCGCCGAAACAAACGGACGATTCGAAGCTGAAGTGTTTCAACTGCTCCCGGAACGGGCATATAAAACCAAACTGCCCATTCCCACCAAGACCGGATGGTTCCTGCTTCAGGTGCTGGAAGATGGGCCACGACCATCGCTCATGTCCAAATCCAGCAAAGCTTCTGAAGAGACGCGAAGTAGCCACTGTCGCCGAGGATGAAGACGACCAACCAGGTGCAATTGGCGCTTTTAACTCTGTGAGTATAGCTTTTAAGAGACTTACGGTTCCAATTACTTATAAGGTAACCTCTCTTTTCGATACTGGCAGTCCGATTAGTTTTGTAAAGGCATCACTGGTCCCAAAACAACTAGGGAAAAAACATATGGTTGATAGAGGCCCCAGTTATAAAGGCATCGGTGGAAGCAAAATTAAAATACTTTATAAAATGAAATGTACAATGGAATTCTTGAACAAAAAAAACGAAATTGAATTAAATGTTATTGAAGACAAAAGCATAAATTTGCCAGTTATTTTGGGACGTGATTTCCTCAATAAGTTTAACATTTGTCTGACTAGCGCAACAGATAGTTCCACTAAGGAAAAATTGCTCGAAATAAGAAATGTTAACGACCATAGTTTGTATAAGTCTGAGAAGTTTGTAACTGATCCCAACGCACACTCAGCCGTCATGAAATTAGACGAATTAAAATACGCTAAAGATCAAGACGTAACGGTACGCGACGTTACCAATGATTGCCATAATAAGCCTGACGACGTACCTGCCGTCGTTGACGTACCTGCCGCCGCTGACGTACCTGAGATATTTTGCATTGACGTTCCCCACGGTGGAAACGACATAGACATAGGCACTAGACTGACTGGTAATCAAAGGAATGACTTGGAACGACTTATCGTTAACACATATCTTAAACCGGAAGTGACACCAGAACCATTTAAATACGAAATGAAGATACACTTGACGACTGGCGTACCTTTCCATTGCGCGCCCCGACGACTTTCGTACGCTGAGAGAAACCAAGTACAAACTATCATTGATGAGCTCTGCAGAGATGGAATAATAAGGCCTAGCGATTCACCTTATGCGTCAGCCATAGTGCTGGTTAAGAAGAAGAACGGAAAGGTCCGAATGTGTGTAGATTACCGAGCATTAAACAAATTGACTGTTAGGGATAATTACCCTCTGCCGCTAATCGATGACTGCATAGAATATCTGGAAAATAAACGTTTCTTTTCCGTATTAGATTTAAAAAGTGGTTTTCACCAGGTTCAGATGGCACCTGAATCAATTCCCCTTACCTCCTTTGTGACCCCTAACGGTCAATATGAATATTTGAAGATGCCGTTCGGGCTGAAGAACGCTCCCGCTGTATTTCAGCGTTTCATCAACAACATCTTCCGGGACATGATCGATAGCAGAAAGGTCATCATTTACATGGATGATATCATTATTGCGACCGAAAATTTTGATGAACACAAAGACCTGCTAAAATTAGTATTGGAGCGACTTACCTTTAGGGCTTTGGAACTTAACTTAGATAAATGCAGGTTTGGGTATGATGAAATCAACTATTTAGGATATGTGGTATCACACTCAGGTATATTACCCAATGATTCCCACATTAAGAGCATTCAAAATTTCCCGATTCCAACGAATGCAAAACAACTACAATCCTGCCTTGGCATGTTCTAATATTTCCGCAGATTTGTACCGTCCTTTTCGCAAATCGCAAAACCATTACAAAACTTGCTTAAAAGAAACGCACCATTTGACTTTGACGAGAAGTGCCTTGATGCATTCACTGAACTTAAGTCCCGCCTAGTTAAAAGCCCAGTGCTGGCTATATTCAATCCACTTCAGGAGACTGAACTCCACTGTGACGCTAGTAGTGTAGGTTTCGGTGCAGTATTGCTGCAACGCCAAGATGATAATAAGTTCCACCCGGTCTCATACTTCTCTAAAACCGCCTCAAGTGCCGAGTCGAAATATCATAGTTTTGAACTGGAGGCATTGTCCATCATATATGCACTTAGGAGGTTTAGGACATATTTAGAAGGCATACGCTTCACCATAATAACCGACTGTAACTCATTGACGATGACACTCGAAAGAAAACAGCTGAACCCCCGGATAGCTAGGTGGGCTCTTGAGCTCGAAAATTATAATTATAAAATAAAACATAGAAAAGGGGCTTCAATGGGTCATGTTGATGCCCTCAGTAGGAGGCAGATAGCGCTAATCGTAAACACGGATGACGTGGAATTCCAAGTACAGGTTGCCCAAGAGCGGGATAAAAATATTGACTCCTTACGATGCCGATTAGAAAATGAAGACGATAACGACTATAGCTTGGTAGACGGATTGATATACAAGAAGAAGAATGACGGTAAGATAGCTCTGTATGTGCCCAACGAAATGGAGCACAACGTGATACAAGTAATTCACGAGAAGCTGGGTCACCTTTCAGTGGAGAAGACCCTTAGTAAGCTAAAGCTATATTACTGGTTTCCAAACATGCGACCAAAAGTAGAAAAGTACGTTAGGAATTGCCTGAAGTGCATAATGTACGCCACTCCGCCTCATGCAAAAGAAAGGACCCTTCACGTTATCCCTAAAACCCCTTTGCCGTTTGACACTATCCACGTAGATCACTTTGGACCACTGCCGTCAATTAGGTCAAAGCGTAAGCATATCTTAGTTGTTGTTGACGCATTCACTAAATATGTCAAGCTCTTTCCAACCAACTCAACTAGTACTCGAGAAGTCACGGCGGCCCTCGACAAGTATTTTAACTATTATAGCAGGCCGAGACGAATCATCAGTGATAGGGGTACTTGTTTCACTTCTCTCAAGTTTAGTTCATTCTTATTGTGACGAAATATAGGGCATGTGAAGGTTGCTGTGGCCTCTCCACAGGCCAATGGACAGGTGGAGAGAGTGAATAGGGTACTAAAATCCATGTTGGGGAAG